TCATTAAACAGCTAGAAATAAGAAGAATTAGAATCTGCACTGGGTATGTGTTTATCAATGAAGCTAGCATTTCAAGTTTGTTAAGTGTTCCAACTTGTTGGGATCTACAAATGTCAACTATGGAAATCACAAAGCTCCCTGTATTCCTTCCTTTCTTCCTCCACCTTTGCTCCTCTGGCCTCTGCCTTTGGTGTGGTCTACGAGGACAGAGCTAGGTAATATGTTGAGTTCTGATATTCACCAGGAGCCATAAAGGAGTCTCCTCCTGTACCTTATTCTCTGCAGTAGGTGGGGCTTTTCTGATATCTCTAAGCAGAGGAACATACTACACCACCTACTGATGCACAAATGCATGTAATCAGCTCACCAAGAACTCAATTTAATACTCAGCAAGAAATACATTATTCTATTTTATATTACTTTTATAATACCATTAAAATTAACTTTTAAGTTAATCCCGTTTTTCACATTTCATATGGACAGACATATTGACCTTTTCTGAAAATTCTATAAAGTTAAATGGGTGTTGTGGTCATAAGGATATGATTACCATGGAGATGAGTCATGTATTTCTGATTTTGAGAGAGGTTTGATGACAAGTTATCACCATTGCAAATCTAGAAGGCATTACAATTTTTGTTACTTGACCAAATTTCTTGTAGTGTTTTAAATCATGGTTTTAATATGTTATTGGAGGTCGAAGAAAATTTTGTGATTACTAATATCTAATTGTGCCCCATCCCCATTGTGGACTACCCCTTTAGGCTTGGAATATTTCAGTATGTGCATTAATGATTCTAATAGCTTCGGGGTGGTGTACATGCATATATAGGTATACATGCAGAGGCCAAAGGGGACATCAGATAGCATGCTCTATGATTCCCTGGAGACAGTCTCCCACCAAACTGGGAGTTGGGCTGATAGCTAGAAAGGCCCAGTGACCTACTTGCCTCTGTTCCCACCCCATAGAGTTATAGTCCTGTGCTTATGATGTCACATCTAGGTTTTAATTTATTTTTTTATTTGTGCTTTCTAAGAGCCATCCGTGGGTCTCTGTGCTTATGCAGAATACATTCTTACCCACTGAGCCATCCCTACAGCCCTCTAGTTACTTCTACTGCTTAGATTGAATTTCTTCTTTTGCCTTGTGGTTGGTACTTCCAAGAAGATCCAATCCCTTATCTGATGAATCTTTCTACAAGACTAATGGGCAGAAGAAGCTTTGTAGTAATGTTCAGTTATGAAATCAGCTCAGTCAAATGTGTTTAAAATAGCTAATTATCACTATATAATGTTGCAAAAGACACCTCACCCCCATCCCTGAATGCTGAAATCCTGCTTGCCAGTGGGATGGTTTTAGAATGTGATACCTTTGGAAGGCAATTATGTCATAAAGGCAAAACCTTAATGATGGGACTAGTGTCCTTATAAGTGGAAGAGGATTGGTCCTCACCCTCTCTGCCAAGTGAAAGGGCAGAAAGAGCTGGGTTCCCCGTGAACCAGGACTTGACCATGTCTGTCACTTGATCCTGTACTTCTAGCCTTCAGGACTATGAGAAACAACTCCTAGTAGTTGCAGTTCCTGGACTACATATTCTATTAGCTGCTTAGAATTGACTAAGGTACTGAAATTAATGATTCCTACTAGTCACACTAATAACGTTCATTACGTTAAATGGTAATGGAAAAGTCAAGTCAGTCAAGACTAGATATTTGACTATACCAATATCCCCATACTTATTTTGGAGTTTAAAAATCTAATAGAATACTAGAAGGGAAAACAAAGTAGGTAAGGAAGCACAGGGGGTGTTGGGGTGAAAGCAATTATACTTTGATAGGCTTTACTTAAAAGAAAAGTGGTCATTTGAACACAAAATGTTTGTCCTGCAGCATAATTGACTTGGTGCCAGTGTGAGCCCTAACAGATTCATATGGATTGAGTGAGAAAGAGTGTGCACAATAGAAATACTAACAATGTAAAAACTAAGCTGGGTCAGTTGTAACATCTCAGTTTTGAATGGTGCCAACAGAAGATCGAAGTAGGAAATGGAAGGAGAAATGGGTTTTGGTCAAATCCAGATGAACTGAAAACCTGAGGTGAGGAACCAAACAAAGAGATCATTTACCAAATACACAGTAAAAGTTTATCAGGTGTTGCTGACCCTGGTAAGCAAAAGCCAGACACAGCCCTTGTCTCCAGACTGATGCATAATTTTAGGTAAAAGAGATGCTAAGGATGACTGCTCTGTGGGGATGGGGTGGCTGCCCTCAAGGTTCTGAAAGCTTTTTCTCTTATTTTCTTATCCTGGATCATGAGAGAGTCAACTGATTTTATTAGCTGTGTAACCACAGGAGTAGTAAAATGACGTAAAGCTCCCTAAATTTCTCCCATGGGACTATGAAAGACAGTCACACCAGAGTCTAGCTGGACTTTGATCTCTGAGGCTTTGTGACTGTGTGACACTTTGTTCTGTATCTGTGCGTCAGCCCTGCATTTACCATTGGTTCTTTGGTAAAACTTCATAGGAAGGACTTCATTTATCATCCTCTTCATGCTCTCTCATTTAATGCTACATCAAAATAATGATCTGATTCTTAATGCTTAATCACTGGTAGCAAAGCCCAGCTTTAAAATACTATGTTGTTAAAGTACTTGACATTTTTCTTTTGTTTTTATAAATCAAACATGCATGTGTTTCAGCAGAATTTTAATTCAGATTATTTTGTGTGAGAAAGAAGTGCTTTTTAAATACATCATCTTTTCTGAAAGAAAGGGAGAGGCAGTGTCTCACCAGTGGGACTGTGAGCCTACTTTGAGATGCAACTGTCACGAGACAGATCATGTCTTCTATACTATCCAGACACTGATAAAACTAGTTGCCTTGTAGAAGTGAAAAAAATCGCTTTCAGGATGTAATAAATTACTTAATGCTAACAACTTGTTCAACTCCTAGATAGGTTTAGGTATATAACCATCATGATTCGGGGAATGGGCTCAAAATTATTTTCCAAGCCTGGTAATATCTGTCAATCACTGTTGTTTATTCATTTATCCCATTTAAGCGTTTTTACCAAATGGTCCAGTTCTCTGTCTATATGAGATAATGAATCAGTCTGGCTATCAGACTGATTGAACATAGTCTGTTATAACCAGCTATTCTGTAGGATTTGATCAAGAATATTCATGATGGTGGACTGAAATAGAACTTTTTAAATATAAGAATCTGGACTATACTACTAATCCATTTTTTCATATAATTATACATACACCCATAAAAAGCATTTTCCAATACCTACTATGTATGACCCAAGAATCATTCTAGATATTAAGAATCTGACAATCTATAAAATAGAAACAAACAAACAAAACACCTGCCTTCATAGAACTTACATTAGAAGTACTTAAAAGCACCCTGTAATGGAAAAGCAAATGAAAAAAGGTAATTAAAAATCAAACTTTTTGGTGTGTGTGTGTGTAACATGCGCAAAAACAACAGCAAAAATCAATGAAGAAAGCATCAAATGGGAGACAGAGAGTATTGAGTATTGAGTATTTTGAGCTTTTGTTTTGTTTCGGGCAGGAAATAGACATACAATTTCAAAACAGGCAGCTGAAAAGGAAGATGAGAGAAAATGACATGCAGGTAGCTTGTGAGGGAGATGGGGGAGGGACCAAGTGAACATCTGTAGGTCAAAGTCGTTGCCAAGGGATCAGGCCAAGAGTGTGAAGACCCTGGGGTGGGAACAAGCCTGAGGAGTTTGGAGAAGTACAGAGTAGCTGGTATTCTAGTGTGTCTGAGAGTAAGTGAGCAGGTGAAGGCAAAAATCAGAGAGGTGGGGTGGGCCTGATTCTCCAGGGTTCTGTGGGTCTTAGACTTCTAGAATAGAATATGAGGAAGTTTCAAAATGGTCCAATTCACGCCTGGTACACAAAAGTAGTCATCCTGTTAAAAATCACTTAGGTATGTACCATGGGAACTGAAATTTAGGTCAATGAAATGAATGGGTTATCTTTATATGTCAGTTATGTGGAAACGAGTTTATTAAAGAGGACAGAAGTCGTTCATAGAACCTCAACTCCGGACTGAGCCCAGGAGATGAATTCACAAGGAAAAGAGTTCAAATAGTGGGGTCATAGAAGACACTGGAGGTATTGTTTTAGGTAGGGAAGGAGATGCAGAGGCCAGCGTGTGTGTAAGAATCTGTTAAAAGTCTCGTACCACCCATCCCTCACAGGAACTGCATGAAGTCTGTTCACGATTCCACTGAAGCAGGCTTTGCTCTCTCGAAGCTGGAATGGCTTACAAAATGTGTTAAGTTTAAGCAATGGACCAAATCCTGTACTACAGAATAACTGGATATATCCAAAGGGATGAGAACACCAAAGGAAAGCACTATGAATAGGGAGGTTAGGACACCACAGCAGCCCAAAACAGAAAGATTCCATGAGCCAGCCTCCTCCCGGAGTAGAGAGTAGGCATCAGGAACACGACCTCCTCGTGCTCAGTCAGAAACACTTAGTTTTCTGAAATCACTTCCTGTTTGATTTCATCTGATTAAAAGTCTGGAAGGTTGGGTTACTTTACTGTAAAAATATACCCCCCCCCTTTCCTCCCCTCCTTTCTTCCTCTCAGGCCCTCAAGCCTCCTTCCTTCCAGCAGGGGGACAGGAGACAGTGGGCGGGTCTTTAACGGAAATCCTCCCAGATAGAGGCTTCACCTTGTCAACTTCTAAGAGGCCTTTGCCCCTCAGAATGGGAAGACCTGGGAGAGTTCCCACATGGGAACGTTCAAGCAGGGAAGCAGCCTCTCTGGAAGGGAAGTGGCTCTGGACTGAGGGGGATGAGGGAACCGGACATCTCCAAGACGGGTCCCCGGGAAGAGAGACCCAGACCCAGCAGATACATTTCTGACGTAGTGGTTCGCCTTGGGGCCAGTTGGCAGCCCTGAGAGGGACCGGTGCAGGGGTAGGGAAGGCACCCGGTGGAAGCGGCCCCTTACTCTTTGGATTTATCTGATCCGTGGGCGGAGTTGATCCGATGCACTTCCTTTCTTTTAGCTTGTTTGGAGGCCATCCCTGAGGCTCACCCTGGCAGCCTCCAGCCGGGCCCACTGAGAGCGCGCCCCACAAGGCCCGCGAGGCCGCCGCGTCTGCCGTTGCCAAGCGACAGAGAAGGAGTTCTGAGAACCGGAAGGCTCCTGCCGGGCCCGCTTGTGGGCGGGCGAGGGCGAGCTCTGAGTGGAGAGGCGGCTCAGGAGTTGGTTTATCCCGGAGGAACTGTGATGAGGGCCAGCACTGACAGATTCAAACGGCCACCGCAGAGGGGGCTCTGCGCTGCTCGCTGTGCAGCCGGGGTCTGCGACTCTGAACCTTAGACTCAAACTCAGCTCTTCAACTACGAGAATACGGATCTTATTGGCGTCACACCCCGGTGTTCTCTTAGCCGAAGGAAAGAGTTCATTAAACACCACCGAGTTTGCCAAAGGCTTAAAACAAAACAAAACAAAAAACCCCAACCAAACCGGGGATCCAAAAAGGAATCCATTTGTGGAGACTTGCAGATAAGCATAGTCTTGTCTGACTAAGTGAAAGGATTAACCCGGTTATGGAATGGAGGGGCGCTGAAAATGCTGGACAATAGGGAATCTTAAGTAAACTCCGGATCTATCCAACCTGCGGATTGGCGCTCAGGCTGTGCAGTTATCTTGCCATGGAGCTGACTTTCTTTGACCCTGCTTTTGTTCATTTGTTAGCAGATGATAGCACCTACTCAGACGATAGAAAGGATGTATAGTGGTCAGTACAACATGCCGGACTTCCTTATGTGCCTTCTGGGAGTAGGCAGGTAGCATGAATGACTGTGGTCAACCAGCTACATATGGAGCCATGGACCTTACACTCAACTGAGAAATACTTAGAGTGGAAAACCACCGCTCACTGAGACAAATTATTTTTTCAACCCATTGCAGCTTCAAGTCAAATTTGATCCATGGTCCTGAGGTTTAGAACATATAGGTGGCCTCTCCCATAAACCTGGAAGTGCTAAGCATCTTTAAATAAAACAATACCCTTTGCTCTAGGGATTAAGAACATGCCAAGTCTATGATTCAGTTGAGAGAGCAGTTTCCTCAAATCAAATCTTTGAATTCTGACAAATGACTGCCCCACTCTCTCCATTCTGCAGAGCCTGAATCGTCAGACAATTGCAATGTTAACACTATTGAGAGATACACAAATGGCAATCAGATAACGACTTCATTGTATTTTATATATAAAATAAATTCAAAGTCTGAAGTATTAAATTTACCACCGTGGAAGTAAGTACCCTTAAATCCTTCCTTTAAACTGGATCTACAGACAATGGAGGTTCCATAGAGGCCCTGCTTTGTTTGCCAAAGTTCTAGAATTTCCATGGAATTCTTCTAAATGAAAGTAAAGTAAATGGTGAGAAAACATATTAGCAATGAATTTTCATGATGTAATGAGGTACATTGCTGTAAGTTGGTATAAAAGTAGTATAGCTCTAAGTAGCCAGTCACACAGAATGGTGAATTTAATTCTGAGATGGGGCTTTCCCTGACATCATCCTTGGTGCCTACAAATGCCAAGACTTTGAGAGAAGGAAACCTCTGCAAACCAAAACAGCTACAGGCAAAATACATTTTACAGATAAAGAACCCAGACCAAGAGGAGCCAAGTGTCCTCCAGAAATCACAACACTGCACAATGATGGCCTGTGGACAACAGGCATTAAGTCAAGGGTGCTGATTTAAGCCAAGTATATCACTATTCTACTCAGAACCTCCTTTCAGGTAGATGCTTATCTATTGTTAGAATAAAAATAAGCGGGAAGTCATAGAATGAGAGGATCGCAAAAGCAATTTTAAGAACTATGTTATCCTAAGAAAGTCTCAGGCTGGTGTTCCTTCTTCTGTAATTTTTCTATTGAGAATGCGACATGTGCAGATGCAATCTCTCTTCCTTATAGAGTTAAATCATTGAGCAAGCCACATAAGTAGCATGTGTGTTTCTCTAAACCTTACAATGCCATATATGATAGCACATAAAAGGAGACTTGACCTTATGGATTTGCCTTTAAAGTAAATTTGTATAATTATGATAGGTGTCACTTATCCTGAGTGAGATAACCCAGTCACAAAAAGAAACATGGCATGTACTCTCTCATATATGGATTTTAGACATAGATCTGGGGAGTGCCAGCCTACAATCCCATGGCCAGAGAGTCTGGGAAACAGAACCTTCATTCATTGACTGATGGAAGAAGAGGCAGACTCCCACAGCTAAACACTGAGCTGAACTCAAGGAATCCAGTGACAGAGAGGGAGGACTGATGAGCAAAGGGGTTAAGACTGGGTTGGTTTAACCCCCCAGAAACCGCTGACCTGACAAGGGTTAGCTCTTGAATACCAGACTGATGCCTGGGAATCCAGCATGGGACGGATCAAGACCCCCTGAATGTGGGTGTCAGTGAGGAGGCCTATGTAATCTATTGAGCCTTGGATAGTAGATCTGTATTTATCCCGGGTATACAAATGGACTTTGGTCACCCATCCAACAATGAGAGGTGTACTCTCGCCCTGAACTCTTGGGGGAGGGTCTAGGCCCTGCCCTGGATGAAATGACAGACTATGGACACCTACATGGAGGGCCTCACCCTCCCTGGGGAAATGAGGGGATATTTGAGGGGTTGGTGGGAGGGAGTGGGAGGAAGGGAGGGAAAAGGAGAGGGACCTGGAATTGACATGTGAAGCAACCTTGTTTCTAATTTTAATTTAAATTTAAAAATAAGAAAAGAATGATAATAGCAGTTTTGCCTTGCTGTATGTGCACTACATTGGGAAAGGACACTTCTTCCTTTAGAGACAACCCTGAATTTAAACATTGCTTTTTGTTCCCTGAAAGCTCAGAACTTCCATTTTCTTTATTTGCAAAATAAGGAAGACTAATACCACAAACTTGACATGTCATAAGCACTCAGAGGAGGGTAATAATATTACCCACAAGTAATGAAACTTGAGTGCAGAGGAGAAATGGATCAGATTGTGGGTAGCCGAACACAGCAGGATACACCTCAGTCTCAACTGTCCACTCATCGGGTTACCCACCAGTCACATTTTATGATCTAGGTGGTTGCCTTGGGTTTCAGTTCAGGGAATTTCAAACTCACTTTCCATCAGATACCTTTAAAGACTGGCAAAGAAGAGAGTGGTGTTATTATTGCTGTTGTTATTGTTATAATTATTATTACTATTATCATCGTCATCATTATTAAGCATGTAGCTCTAGAGGGAAGACAAGAAAGATATGACCTTAGGGTAGCAGTTGCTCATAGGGAAGTGGTTAGAAGGACACACTTCCTTCTGTGAGCAGGAACAGGGCGAGCCTTGGCAGCTCTGCTGAAATGTGGAAGCAAGCTTTGGCATAGCCTGCCTCCCCATCATCAGCAGCCCTGGATGACCAGAGTAGAGGAAGGGGAGTAGGTGAGGACTGGAGGTGTGTGTGTGCGTGTGCGTGTGTGCGTGTGTGTGTGTGTGTGCGTGTGTGTGCGCGTGCGTGTGTGTGTGTGTGTGCGTGTGTGTGCGCGTGCGTGTGTGTGTGTATAATTTCTACCTCTTACCGTCCTCGCTTCAGGTGCCCTCTAATGCTCAAATCCACAGGGAATTACACACACCATGCTGCTGAGTGTTTTCACACTGAGCCCAGTTGTATAGGAATCCAATAACATGCAAGAGTGAATTCTACATGTTCTGCAGTAGGTTGAAGGTCATCACCGTTTCAACTTTGAGGCTTTGTCTCATTTTCGTAGGAAATAATAACCTCCTTTATTAAAATGGGCTTTATTGTTTATAATGGAAGGTACCTATGACATTCTGGTTTGTTTATTTATCCTTACTTATGCCACCAGCTCTTCTCATTAATGGAGCTATAGGATCACCCAAAGCAGGAATTGTCCTACCTTTTCAACAAGTTCAGTTGGAGCATTTGAAGACCCTAAACTCCTGTTTTTTTCTTTTTGTTTTTCTTTTTTTTTTCTTTTTTGCTCTTATGACTGCCCAGTACTTGCTCTGGCACACTTCCAAGAACCTGTAGTCTATTAACTCACTTAAACTTGGGATTATAATCAGCCCATTTTGCAGAGAAGGAAAGTAAATTATTGAAAGACAAAGCAGCTTATTTGAAATCTGAAAGCACTCAAGAGCTCAGAAAATGGAACTAGAAAATAATCATGCTTTATAGTGCAGGTTCATAAGCAAACTGTCCCCTTCCTCTTTCAATTAAAAGGAATTTGTAGCCTTGTTTACTAATTGTTTTTGCTGGATCAGAAATAGAAAGAACTCAAGGTGTTGGCTATGCTAGGCAAAAGTGAATTCCAAAGAGCTTCATCCCCGTCCTTAAACAGAGTGAACCGAGAATGTTTGAAAATGCTTTTATAAATTATAATTTTAATTTGGACATTTCTCCTAGAGCTCGGCCTCTACAAATGCAATGAATAATTTGGGTTCTGTGTGTGTAAAACCAGGTGGCACAAAATGTTTATTACTGTATAAACTTTAACTCTAGCATTAGTGATGTTTAAACAAAGGAACAAGGAAATAAGGTATTAATCCCTAACTAGGCATGGTACTGTATATCTTTAATATCAGCCTTCAGGTAGCAGAGACATCTTCAGGAAGCATGGATTTCTATGAGTTTGAAGATAGCCTGGACTGTATAGTGACTTTAAGGACAGTCAGGGCTACCTGGCTGAAACTCTGTCTCAAATCAATAACAACAATAATAATAATATAAAAATTAGTTCCTTCTAACAGACTCACATATAATACCTAAAAGACCATAGCATTCTTAATAGCAACATCATAAAAATCTCAAGAACATTGATATAACAAAAAATATCCAGTATCCCAAAATGTAAAATTCACAATTACTGATAGCCAATAAAAATCAGTAGGCAGAAAGACATATTCCATTAAGAAAAAGAACAAATTGATTCAAATGAATAAAAAAATGAATTACAGAATTAGCAGACAGAAAATTCCAACTGTTATCATTATTGAAATCCATATGTGGAAGAAGCTAGAAGATTGGATTGCTAGCTTCAATTTAGGAACATCTGAAAAAATATATAATGTCTTATTGCAAAAACACACTGAATTTGATTGATGACAGACCAGATATTGCAGGAAAATG